AGGCTCTTTCCATAATTTGGCTATTGTTGAAAGTGCTGCTGGTAAACATTGGGGTCCAAGTGCCCCTATGCATCAGCACTCCTGTATCCCTTGGGTAAATTCCTAGCTGTGCTATTGATGGCTCATAGGGTAGATCTATTTTTAATTTTTTGAGGAACCTCCACACTGTTTTCCAGAGTGGCTGCATCAGTTTGCATTCCCACTAACAGTGCAAGAGGGTTCCCGTTTCTCCACATCCTCTCCAGCATCTATAGTCTCCTGATTTGTTCATTTTGGCCACTCTGCCTGGCGTGAGGTGGTATCTGAGTGTGGTTTTGATTTGTATTTCCCTGATGAGGAGTGATGCTGAGCATCTTTTCATATGCCTGTTGGCCATCTGTATCTTCTTTGAGGAAATGTCTATTCAAATACTTTGCTCATTTTGAAATCAAGTTGCCTTTTTATTCTTGAGTTGTAAGAGTTCTCTATATATTTTACATGCAAGTCCTTTAGTAGATATGATTTGTCAATATTTTCTTCCATTCTGTGGGTTGTTTCACTTTCTTGTTGGCATACTTTGAAATACATAAGTTTTTAATTTTGATGAAGTCTACATCTGTTTTTTCTTTTGTTGCTTGCTTTTGGTGTCATAACTAAGAAATCACTGCTAAACTGAAGGACACAAAGATACACTCCTATGTTTCCTTCTAAGAGGTTTATAGTTTAGCTCTTACATTTAGGTCTATGATCCCTTTCCTGTTGATTTTTAAAATATGATATGAGGTAGAGGTACAACTGTTTTTTCTTTCTTTTTTCTTTTTTTTTTTTTTGGCACAGAGATATCAAATTGTCCCAGCACCATTTGCTGAAATGACTGCTTTACTCTTTGAATTATCTTGGCAATATTATTGAAAATCAAATGACTAAATATAAAGGTTTAGTTCTAGACTCTCAATCCAATTCCATTGATCTTTATGTCTATCTTCATGCTAGTACCAATTCTGATTACTGTTATTTTTTTGTAAGTTTTGAAACTGGGAAGTATGAATCCTTCAATTTTGTTTTCTTTTTCAAGACCATTTGGCTATTCTGAGTCCCTTTCATTCCACTATGAATTATAGATCAGACTGTCAACATCTGCAAAATGGCAGCTCAAACTTGGAGAGGTCTTATATTAAAACCTGTATATCACTTTGTGAAGTACTGTCTTAACAATATTAAGTGTTCCAATCTATGTACATGGGGTGTCTTTTCATTTATTTATGTCTTTTAAAATTAATTTTCCTAATTATTTTGTTTTTATACTATTATAAATGGAACTGGTCTCTTAATTTTATTTTTGAATTGTTCATTGCTAGTGCTAAGAAATACGATTTTTGTATATTAATTGTGTATTCTGCAACTTTGCTGAACTTATTACTTCTGATAGTATTTTTTGGATGTCTTAGGGTTTTCTGTAAACAAAATCATGTCATTTGAGGACATAGTTTTACTTCTTCCTTTCCCACCTGGGTGACTTTTATTTCTTTTTTGTGCCTAAATGCTCCAGCTAGATCCTCCAATATAATGAATATAAGTGGTTAGAGCAGATGTCTTTCTCTTGTTCCTGACCTTAAGAGGAAAGCATTCAATCTTTTCTTATTAAGTCTGATGTTAGCTGTGGATTTGTCATAGATGCCCTTCATCAGTCTGAAGAAATTCCCTTCTATTTCTAGTGTGTTGAATGATCATATCATGAAAGGCTGGTGGATTTTTTAAAAAAAAATGTGTTTTTTTAACATCCATTATAATCATCCTCTTTTGGTCCTTTATTCTATTTAATGGTGTATTACATTGATTGATTAGCATATATTAAGCCAACCTTGCATTTCTGTGTTCAATCCCACTTGATCATGGTGTATGCTTCTTTTAATATGTTCCTGGATTCTGTTTGCTAGTATGCTGCTAAAGATTTTGCATTTATATTTATAAGGGATATTGGTCTATAGTTTTCTTTTCTTGTGATGTCTGTTTTTGGTTTCCATGTCAGGGTAATACTGACCTCATAAAATGAATTGGGTTCCCTCCTCTTCTATTTCTTGTAAGAGCTTGTGAAGGATTGGTATTAATTCTTCCTTAAAAATTTGGTAGAATGTACCAATTAAGCCATCTGGTCTTGGGCTTTTCTTTGTGCAAAGTTATAAATTACTAGCTTGATCTTGTTAATTTGTGATGTCTTTTAAGAGGGATATAATCAGGGACACTGAACTGTATAGTATAAAAGTGTAAATTTTATGGTATGCAAATTATATCTCAATAATGCTGTCATGAAAAAAAGAACATATGTACAGAACTCTATATTTGGTGTGGTGGACTGCATATGTTCCCTCATCTCTGTTTCAGCTCAAATCCTCTAAAATGATAGTTAAGAAATACATATGTCCACAGAGACAAAGGAAATAGGAAATAAGAACACAGTAATCAGAAGAGGTGAACAAATTTTGAAAGCTTTCATGGTGACTGACTTAATATACTTGAGAAAGATGACAGCCAAGAGCCTTTGGAAGTGATAGCAACAGGAAGCAAGGATTTCAGAAACTGTAGGCATCACCAGGTACCTCTGTGGGACTGGGATATGAGGGCTAAAACCAGGAAGATTGATTGACAGTCTCCCTAAGATCCCTTCTGCCATCTCATGTCCCTGGGTGACCAGGCTTTCCCCATCCTGTCAGAAGACTGAGGGCTGCTCTCTGGAGTAGCTGATTACTGAGATCTGTTCTCAAGGATACAGCAACATATGAGGGTGGACATGCCAAAATGAAAATAGGCACCGATACAAAGTTTACCTGCTAAACTGGAAGGTCCCCAGACCCTTTGTGTTATTTGGTTCCCAAAATATTGGCAGGCTACTCCATCCCTAGGAAGGGTAAATGATTCCTCTCTCAGGAAATAGACAAGCCCAAAAGAACACACCAGTAGCTATAGGAATTAGAGGATGCTCTGACCCAATGACCAGACCCTCTTTAGTCAGCTACAGGGAAGCCTGCTGGAGACAAGCCTTGCACACATATAAAGCTTCTAAGTAGCACCAGAGCACTTCACTTTCAGACCCAGGACTGACATCCAAAAGTCTGTACATATAGGAGGAAAGTCTCTAACTTTTGTCTCTAACTTTGTTTCCTGAAACAAATAAAAACAGGGCAAGTTTCCTGAAAAAAAAAAAAGTGACTTGACAGTACCAAACAGATTTGACCTTGAGGAATGCTGGAAGGAGAGATTTATTACAGAGAGGTAGTAGGAAAGCCTAGCCAGATTTAAAAACCGAAAGGAAATAAGAAACATGCAAATAACAAAAGGAGCAATTAATTCCAGGAAAAAACAAAGTTCTACAAGAAAGGAAGTGTAGTAGCATAGTAGTTGGGTCACCACAGTATTTACCTAGCTGTAATAAAGAAGAGTTGATTACCAATTTAAACAAGAGTGTATGCAAACTATATTGGAATAAAGAAACCACCTATATTGGAAGAAAGAGAGGAAAGATGTGTATGTGTGTGTGGGGGGGGGGGGAGGAGGAATGATACAGAAGAATCACCCTCCTCTTTCATGGGAAGAAGAAAATAGATAATAACTGACAGTTAAAATTTTATTTATCATTTTTTTTGACAGTTAAAATTTTAAATGGCAGTAGAAACTTGACGAACCGCAAAAGAGTTCAAAGTGGCTGCTTTTGGGGAGTAGCAATTGGACATGGGTCAGGTTGAGGCAGGGAACGACCATTTTATGTTATAAGCTTTGTAATATGTTTTGACTTTTAAGACCCTGTATAATTAAAAATTTAAAAACCCACAAAGTTCTGGGTATAGTGCTTGCACACAGCAGGCTTTCGATAAATGAATGACAAATTTAAAAATAAAAAATTTATGTATATATATTGTTGTTATAAAAATAAAACATTTAATTAAAAAGTAAGAGAATGATGCTAGCCTGAGCTTTTGGATGCAAATCAGTTAGTATAACACATGTGATGAAAATGCTCTAGAACAGCCAACACTGGATTTTCAGGCTCCACACCCCAGCTCAAGCACTGCTTGACTTGGATGTGAGCTTTGGGCTCTGGCTAACTTTTGGCTCACTTCAAGGGCTATCAAAGTTCATCCCTCCAAGAAGATAGGCTGACATTATGGCAATGAGTTAATGATAACAATCTGCAGAGATCCATGTCTGTGGAAAGGCAGGCAAGATCAAATACTAGCAAGTGACGCCTAATACTTATTAACTGATACAATATGATTAATAAAGGTCATGCAAATGAAAAACAATATAATGCATTATTATGAAATGCAAATGCTGTGGTTCTGAATGGAGGCAGAGCATACAACTAAAATTTGCAATAGTTTGCTCGTCAAGGGATGAACTTAGTAGCACATTCTAAGGCAAAGACATAGCCCCAGTAGTTTGTCAGCAGTGATACCACTGGAAGCTTGGAATGCTCCCTTTTCTGGATCATGGCCCATTTCTCTGCCCTATCTGCCCTGGTGCTCTGGATCTGGAGTCTGTAGCCAATGGGTTGTGCTCACTTTTGCTCTCTACAGGTCACTTCCAGAAATACATTTTAATGAAAAGTTGCCATTATTATTATTATTATTATTATTAATTATCATATAGTTATTAAACAGTAGAGTCTGATTTGCAGGGGCAAAATATAAGATGAGTGTTGAGTTCATAAGAAAGGGAAGAATTCTGGTTTGCTGACAGCTACTATGGCCTAGAGCAGTCTCTCATATAGGGAGATGGTCACAGGGCTGCTATTAGTGAAAACTTGCCAGTGTTACTGAGGTCTGGGTGTGTAAGAACACTGCTGGCTTTCAGCTTTGGGAAGCCATACACTCACAGCTGTAAAGTGGGGCTGGTGAACCCTTCACCCTAGGCAGAGCTGGTCACTTGTACTTGCTCCCCTGGCAGGAGAAAGCCCCTGGTCAGTCTTAGCTGCATGTTTCCTTTCCTGGGTGAAAAGTCAGTTCTGAGGTAGGTTTGCTGCCTACCTTGAGTTCATCTTTGCTCTGGAAGTTGTCCAGGAGGTGCTGGTAATGGGTGTCACACATCTGGCGGAGCAGCGAGAGAAGGCAGGACACATACTCACCCTGGGGACCAACCGAGAAAACACTTGGTGCAACTAATCACAAGAGCTGTGTTTCCCCAATCCACAGAGGGCAAGGAGAGAAGGAAGGGTCTGAGATGGCCCCAATGATCATGAAAGGGAAGGTGAGAACTCTGGCCCTGAAAATGAGTTTTCCTTTCTGCTAAGTTTTCTGAAGGGCTTGGGAGTTTTAATAAGACTTCTGTAGCATGGGACTAATGGTAAAACCTTAACCTATAACAAAGAAATATTGCAAAGTGAGACAGCAAGTCTCGGTTTTTTCCCTAGGAAATTTTTGGCTACACAATCCTTTGTCACTATATATTGCCAGGCCATTGTACTGAAGTTGAAAGGGATTACTCAGAACAGGGTGCTTGGCCTTCTCTGGGCAGAATGTGGGCTCTTCCCATATTGCTCCAAGATGGGATGGCCCTTCTTCAAAATTCTTCTGGGGACCTTGTAGAGCTTACATGTGGTTACTGGAACAGGAAGATGGAACAAAGTAGTTCGACATAACTGACCTTTATGAGAAGGTGAATTATGGGCTTTAAGATAAGTAAAAATTTATGGATACAAAAATAAGCCTTTAAGATTCCTTCAAGTTCCAACTGGGATAACATGGAAGAAGACCTTGTTTTAAGGACTCCAAGAATTTTACCATCTTATGGCAATTTTTGGCATAGGGAAGCTGACCAAATATTTTTAAACTCATGGAAATTTGACAACAATATTTTTGGCTCTCAAATCATTTCTAGACACATGAAATTATTCTACAAATGTATATGTGTAGAACATATACATGTATATGAACCCCAGTTTTATCTGAGCATGGGCATAATAATGGGCATAATAAGCTATAATTCCTAGATTTAGTAGGAGGATTGGAGGAATGAATGCACATAAAACTTTTCAGTGAAAAAGTCCAGTATGTAAAGGAAGTGCTCAGTAAATTATGCAGTTATTATTATCTTCATTAAAACTATGTAATTTAGTGTTGCTAACTGAGTTAATATTTGTAAAGTGCATAAAGCAGGGGTAGGCCTATAGCAAGCATTGTGTAGTTGTTGGTCAGAAGGATGGGTTACCAGGACATACCAGGGTACATGTTTTTACCTATAGTGAGAGTGCTCTCAACAGGAGATCCAAAGGGAACATTCTTTCTAAGCCCAGTGCTTCAGAACACATGCCTGCTCTCTGTTCCCCTTTCCCTCCCTAGCATTTGGCTAGCTCCCACAGAGAATTTGCTTCAAGGAAACCACTGCAGTCTCTCACCTGCCAAATGGAAGAGTCCGTGCAACCTGTTTATTGTGTTCTGCCATCAGGGGTAAGAAGTCCACTCTGGGTGGAGGAGTGGGAACTGTCTCTCTGTCCCTCCCGAGACGTTTCCCCAGGCTGTTTCTCTTCTAATTGTCCAGTAATGCCAGTGCAATTCTAACTCATCACATTTTTTCCTGATGCTAGACATTTAGATACAAATGTTGTGGACAAAAATAACTAGTTTGTAGATACAACCAAATTCTAAGAAAATTATTCTGTTGTGCACATCATTTAGGAGAGCCTGCTACTAGAAGGAATATTCCATTTTCCCCCTTCAATCTCTTACTGCATCTCTGCTCCACTCTACAGAACAGGAAATGAGTTGGCACAAAGGCAAAGGCCAACAAAGACAGTGTGCAGGAAAGCGAGACAGGGAGCATTCCCCACATCTGCCCTAGAGTAGACTTCTGGGACTACAAACATAGAGCCTTCAGAGTGGAGACAGGAGCCAGATGCGAGAAAGGAAGAAGGCAGCATGCTGACAACCATGCAGGGAGGTGGAGATGAAGGTGGTGCTATGAGGAGGTGGGGTTGGTGTGGAGGAGCCCCAGGTTAGAAAAGAAGGCAAGAAAACCTGAATGTTAGTTACTAACAGTGATCTCGGCTGTGCACTGCGGGCACCGCTGCCCTCTTACCGCCTCCTGAGCGTGCGATTTGCTCATGATGGTGAGCAGAGTCTGCAAGAGCACGTCCAGGAGGCTCTCCACCATCATTTCTACCTCCTCCATGACATCTGCCTCCTGGAGCGAGCAGTGAGAGAGCACACCGTTAGCACCAACCTGGCTGACGTGCAGCTGGCAGCACTTACAAAGTGTGTGGCATAAGGAGTGGTCTTCTGATTGGACTCTCAACACTGAGCTCTTGGCCTCACTAGCATGAGATGTCAAGGAACCTGGGACAACAGCTCTGAGAAAAGGTGAGGCAAACCTGTCTCTGTTGCCCTGGTATGGTAGCCGGGTCTTCGCCTAACCCAGCACCACTTGACACCCACAGTTCTGAACCTCAGGTAGATACCTTAATTTCAGTATACAAGGCAGAAGCAAAGGTCCTGAAGTACCTGTTTACCTTGATTTCCCTAGAAGAGTCTGGAGAAAGCACAACACTGCTAACACTTTGAGAAAATGGTATTCATGCCACAAGGTGTGGTGGTGGCACCTTCAGGACTGCTAACACACACCTGAATGCCCATAGAAGTATTTCAGTCTTTAAAAGGAATGTTTTCTTCTCAGGGCTTTCTCCTTAGGTGATCTCAAGCTTTGCTGGCCCCACTGTTGCTCAGATATGTCTACATCTCTCTTTTGAGCTTCTCAGCATTCTTGCTCGTGTTTCCTGGTCCACCTGAAGGACTCTGGTCTCAGTGTGTCTTTCTCAGGCAGCCTCACAAAAACAATGGCAGGCCCCCACTAAGGGCTGCTTCTCAGCCACCACACTCTGAATTTAGGAAGTGTCTGTGCTGTCCTTCTATAGACCTCTCATGTTGAATCTCAAATCTTATAGCCTAATTTTATTTATCTCACAGAGATTCCCACTGTCCCTTCTCCAGCCTCTTTTTATTATTCCTGGTACAAGTGTCTATCTGTCCATCCATCCACCAACCCATTATTCATTAAGCAGTTACCATGTGCCACTCACTTTTTGTGAATCTGAGTATACAAAGGTGAATAAGGAAGATAGTATCTTTATGCTCATGGAGCTTAAATTCCACCCCAATCCATTCATTCAATATAATTATACTGTGACCCATTCCACATGAAGAATTGCAGCAACTCTTGGTGCTAGAGTCATCTTTATCATCTGCTATACTGATCGCTAACACTCTCACCTGTGATGTCTCTCTGACTAGTTGTAAGCAACTAATTGCACCTGACTCTAGTACCACAGATACAACCAGACCATCTCTTTCAGGTTTTAACCTGTTTCCATTCCTTCTCCATTCCTTTCCTTTCCTTTATTTTCCCTTCAATTTCTCTCCTTTATTTAGCAGTAAGTCTCCCACTTCCTCAAGTCTGGCCTTGGGCTGCTAATAGACCTTATGTGCTTGGTGTTGCCTCTCTGAGGCCTGGTGGGAAGGAGAGCTGCCAAACCTTGCCTGGAGCCAAGAGCAAACAATAGGGCCACTACAAGCACCATAGGCACTCTGCCAAGCAGGGCCCTGTCACCAGATGGTACTTTAAGTCTGGACACCAAAGCACCCTATTGAGGCCCTGTATCTCACTCAAACCAACCAAACTCTTTTTTTTTTTCAGGACCTCTCCTGTTCCACATGGATAGCCTAACCTTGCACTCTTATCACCTGTCTACTGGCCTTCATTTTATTTTATTTATTTTGTATAGAAGAGTATCTATGTAACTTTATTCTAGGAAAATACACAGAAAACAGTAACCATAAATGAAGGGACATACATTCTGTTGCATTAGAATTAATTATTCTGTTTATCAAGAGAAATAGCAGCAAAAATGAAAAGACAGCCACAAAATGGGACAAGATTTTGGATATGGATATAACTGACAAAAAAAAAAAAAAGACTCATCTAGAATACTGGCCTTCATTTTATTTATTTATTTTTTTTAATTTTTTTTTTATTTATATATGAAATTTATTGTCAAAATAGAATACTGGCCTTCATTTTAAATACAGTTGTAATTTTATTCTCCAGAAACCTCATCTCCTCTTAAGATGTTGTAATAAAAAACTCATTCTTGTTCTTAATTTCTTTTTTTATACTTTCCTATAGTTTACAAATTTTCTCTAAGAAATAACCATTTTTCCTATTACCATAAATATATAAAATAAATATCATTAAAATAAATTCCTACCTTTATTCATGCCTGATACATGTCTTTCCTTCCTTCCTTCCCCTCCCACCATATATCTCTTTTTAAAAGAAAAAGTAAAGAGGAAAGAAAATAGGCAAAAGCAGTACCAGTTGAAACCTCATCTTTAAAGTCCAACTCTATCATCCCATGAGGCTCAGAACTCTTGTGGGCAACAATTATCTCTCCTATGTCCTGACCTCATCTGGCATGGTATGGAATGTCATATGGGTGGAATCAAGCTGCCAGGAAGCTGACAGAAAAGTCTGAATGAGCAAGCTGCCTCTCAGCCTGGGCTTGCCTCCCTGTGCTTGTGCCTTAGTATCCTCAGAACACTCTCAGGAACATAGGATTAATACCTTTTGATAATAACAGAATATGGCACAGGATTCGGCTTTCTGGTATTAAAGAGAACTACATTTCAGAAATGCAACTTTTTCAAATAGCAAAACTGTGTTGTGTTGAGAAGCCTGCTCAGCATACACAGGCCTCTGCTCACTTGAGCACCTTCCTGCCACTGATGAAAGCTTCTCTGACTGAGAAGTGTACAAAGTGATCTTTGTTGGTCTGCCTCTGGTTAAAGTAATACAAGACTGGGGCAGAGCTGAGGGGAGATGGAGTGGGCATGGGGCCACTACCAGAGAGCTGGTCTTGACGATGGAGAAGATGCTGCCAAGAATCCCTGAGCAGATCAGCAGCTCCTTCTGCTGCCTCAGGTGAAGGTGAATGTGATGGAGAACCACAGGAAGCAGGATGCGGCGGGATTCTGAGAGAGAAAACACAAAGGTGAAGAAGCCCTTTAGAGAAGAACTAGCTACTTCTGGGAGCCAGTGACACTGCGAGACTTAACTGGTCTCAAAGCAAATGGGGTTGAAACTGGTGCGAAGATGGAGGCCACTCCCTTCCCTTATGAGGGCCAAAAAGCCCACTTCCTGGACATTATAAGACATCCCACAGCATTATCCTTCCATTTCTCTTTTCTTCTTTCTCATTTTAAGCCTCAGTATCTATGGTATTTTGTGCAGGATGAATGTTAGGAAATTGCTCCCAAATGAAATCTCTTTAATGACTAGATCCCAAATTAAAAGCATAGCTTACACTGAAAATTCCATTCAATTGACAGACCTAGTTCTATGAACTACACTGATTGAACCTGCAGACCTGCTATGCATTATAAATGGTCACTCTTTATGATGCTCTGACTAGTTGGCCTGGCACTCCCCCCGTCCCCCCATGAGCATTTACTTTGTGGCAGCCATTAGGCCTACCTCCTTTTCCCCTTAGGCTTAGAGGACAAGCTTGGCATGCCCACAGCAATGAATGGAATAGTAGCAGGATTTTGTCTTCTCATAAGCCTTTGATTAGTAAGCTAACCCTTACTGCCAATCCTAAGTTTTCTCCTCCCTGTTAACTGAACAACACTATCAGGAGACAACTATATTTAGGACCCTGACAGGGGCATCTGGGTGGCTCAGTTGGTTAAGTGTCTGGCCCTTGGTTTTGGCTCAGGTCATGATCTCACAGTTCAAGAGATCAAGCCCATTATCAGGCTCTACGCTGACAGCCAGGAGCCCGCTTGGGATTCTCTCTCTCCCTCTCTCTCTGCCCCACCCCAACTAGTGTGTGCATGTGCACGCGCGCACACACACACACACACTCACACACTCTTTCTCTCTCAAAATAAATAAATAAACGTAAAAAAAAAAAAAAAAGAGAACCCTGTCAGGAAGGCTGAATCCTAGTTCAAGATCTTTTATTAATTCATCCTAAGACCTTAGGCAGGCTGATTCCTCCAATGGGCTTGATTTTTCCTATCTGTACAATGAGGTGCTAATTGGATTTACTTCACAGGTGTGGTGAGAAGACAAAGTGAAATACAAGTGTGAACATGTTTGTGATGCTCTGCACTCCTATGTGGTCAGTGACTGTGTGATTCTACAGGTACCTTCATACCTGGCCAGCAGGATTTAGTCAGATTGTCAGTAATACAAACACACCAGGGCATTTTGGACTTATTGTTCACATTTGACCACAGTTACATGTTTCAGATAAAATTCAGAAAGAAAATCTTATTTTTAGCCAAAGACAAACTACATGACATACAAGAGATTTGGGGGTTGTCTGGTCAAATACTTAGAATATAAAATGGAATGATAGCTATTCTATGTTTAAAAGGATGTGTAGACAAAAAAGAAGTTCATAATACATTTTGCAGACCAAAATTATACCAACATAGCAGGATTTATATCAACCAATAACTATATGCTGAGAAAATAGCAGTTTATTACTGGAACCAGCTGAAAAGACCAAACTGATGTGCTCTGAGAATATAAGTGTTGCTTAAGAGACACCACCTTAAGGTGCTGCTTCAAGGAACATGCTGCAACTCAAGAATTCAGTGAAATTGAGATGCAAATGAGAATCTGGGGGTGGCTTGTCATCTCAAAATCCAACTACATCGTGTCACTGCCACATAAAGTTTAAGAACAATTTTTCTTTCTTTAAAAAAATTTTTTTAATGTTTATTTGTTTTTGAGAGACAGTGACATGGCACGAGTGGGCGAGGGGCAGAGAGAGAGAGGGAGACACAGAATCTGAAGCAGGCTCCAGACTCTGAGCTGTCAGCACAGAGCCTGACATGGGGCTCGAACTCATGAGCTATGTGAGATCATGACCTGAACTGAAGTTGGACGCTCAGCCGACGGAGCCACCAAGGCTGCCCAAAGAACAATTTTTCTCAAGTGATTATGGGAAGCAGCAAGTGCATGCAATAATATTAGAAATAAAGGATGTCAGTAAGGGCAGTCTGATGTCCCCCTTCCCATATATTCAGAAAGCATCTTTAAACAGTGCACAAAGCTTGAATGTGTGCAGTGGCCTCAGTGCTAATGTGTCCAAACTAGTGATAAAATCTTTAATCTAGGAACTGAGGAAGAGAGAAGTGTTTACCATAAATAGCTACTGGTAGAGAAAAGATGACTCTCCTGGTTGCAGCTTTGCCATGAATAATACCTTACATTGGCAGAGTTAAGTTAAAGGGAACATTTATTTAGTATTGCAATTATGTGTAGCACTTGGTTGAGAAATTACTGTTCATATACTTTAAAAGTCCAATTAAAAATTTTTATTACCAAAAATTATAGTTATAAAAATTCTAATAATAATTGTTTTTCTCGAATTTCAGATTTATTCCTGTGCCCTAGAAATTTATTCTGATTGTAACATTCCATTTAAAGTTTTTTTTTTTTTCAACGTTTATTTATTTTTGGGACAGAGAGAGACAGAGCATGAACGGGAGAGGGTCAGAGAGAGAGGGAGACTCAGAATCGGAAACAGGCTCCAGGCTCTGAGCCATCAGCCCAGAGCCTGACGCGGGGCTCGAACTCACGGACCGCGAGATCGTGACCGGGCTGAAGTCGGACGCTTAACCGACTGCGCCACCCAGGCGCCCCTGTAACATTCCATTTAAAGGATCAGTTTCATATTGATCGTAACATTTGGCCACTGAATATTTGGTACCACTGCCAGGATGATCTCTTGAATGTGGTTGCAGGTGTGAATCTGCAGGTTCTTTCTGAAAGGCAATCTGGGATGTTGATCATTTGTTAGTCTGTCTTGACCTCTTAGGGAGTATGGAAGGCTCACTGTCCATCTCTGTCTTTCAAAGACAGGAAGTGAATCTCTGTGACTGGTGAGATAAGGAACAAAGAAAACACAGTCGGTCCTCAGGGCCCCCTTTCAAGATCTCTCTTATTTCCTTGACTTATCCTTATCCCCATTGGGATCCCCTTCTCTCTTGTTCCCCCTCCTTTCCATCTTGCTGGGTGTGGGGGAAGCTGGCTAGGCTTGTAGGCCTAGAAGTTGCTCCACAGGCCACCTCATGGGCATGCCCCAGGGTGTGGGTCCCTAGGGATAAATCATGAGTGAGGCAGTAGGCCTAGATCTTGGCTGTAGTATCTAATGGAGTTTACCCAAAACTCTGAATTTTTAGGGCCACAGGCTTCTTGCATGATGGTTGATAAAACTGATCCTTTGATTACCACTTGACAACACCCTGGAAAGGAGGAAAGGTGAGTCTGATTCTCATCCCAACTTGATTTACCTGAGAAAGAAAACAGGCGGCTATCCACGGTCCTGGCGATGGACTGCAGCTTCACCACATCCATTGACTGCCCAATGTGCACAGTGCTGGGCATGCTCCCCAGAGTCCCTCTTACAAACTCTGCCACCTCCTGCACGGTGAACATTTGCAGCAGCTCATCAAAGATGGCTGGGAAAGAATTGAGGAGTGCAGCCTGCAGAAGCAAGTGAAGCTGCAGTTAGCACAGAGTTTGTTGTCTGTCTTTCTCACATGCTCAGACAATAATAATACAAGAGGCTGAAAAGGCATTGTAGCACCCCTGTCTCACATGAGCTCCTCCCTGGCCTTTGACTCCACACATCCCTACAGCACCCTTGGGGCATAGAACAGGGAGGAGTACAAAGGAAACCAAAACAAAATTTGCTGGGGCCCAGGCCACTTGAAACTTTCATAACTTGCCAGCATATTTGCTGGCAAGAGAAGGGAATATAAAAAGAAATCAGCTCAATATGGTTTAACAGCCATAGCTATTTTGTTTACAAAATGGATTTAAATTTTTTGTCTGTCTCTATGATCAAACACTTGACTTTCTAATTTTGGTCTCAAATTCAAGCCAGGAACCTCTCAAAGAAACTATAGCAGAGAGAGCTGGGCACCACCAAGCAGCATGAACTGAACTCCATTCACAGCCCTGTAGCCAGCAATCCAGCTCTGTGAGCTGGACCATTTCCCCCAGGATGGACACATTTATCTGAAACCATGAAATCTGAAGACTTTATAAATGATGCCCTTCATCTGTGATGCTTGGCAGTCTCAAGTGTAAATCCAAAAGGATGGAGACTGTACGGATTTAGTCAGCTACGAATTCTTGACGACTGATGATTATGTTGGCATAGAGTTCAGCAACCTAGATGGCCTTGGGCATGGTCAGGAGTCTGTGTGTTCGGAGACTTCTCTTCATGGATCTTGGTTCTGGTAGACCCATGAGGTAGACTCTTTATGATAACCTGATAATAGTTCAAGAGCCTTTTACAGGCAGAGTAGTATAGGTGAAAGAGAATGGCTTTTGGAATTAGACATGAGTTCAAATCTCAACTTTACTACTTATCTGTCGCATCACCTTAGGTGAGTTATTTGCCTAATATCAGTTTTCTTATCTATAAAATAAAGATGATGATATCACTTATCTCCTGGTATTGGCATGAAAAAAATTAGATGCATGAAGTTAGTTTCCAGTTAGAGTGCTTGGCACATCATTGGCTTTCAATAAATGCTGGTCCTCATTCTCTCTTGTCTACATGGAAGCAACATGAAGAAAGCTTTTCCACTTCTCAATACTCTTACATTATTAACCTAGAATTCACAAAGGGTAATGAAATGTCACTTTGAGATGAGAAGATGAGAGTGTACTTTTCCTGCGTGGCAGGTAGTGAATGGGAGGCTGTTTTCCTTGACTGCTTTATCAAGCAGGCCTAGAGTGAGTAAAAATGTATGCCATGGGGAAACACGTCTGTCATTCTACAGTCTATGCTAAGGCCAGGCCCAAGAATAGAACTTACATGAATTTTCTATCTATAGATTTATAACTCCCTGGGATATCAGAGATTTTTTTGCAATGATTAGAACAAGCACAAAAACATGCTGTCATAAGCAGTTAGATACAAAAGACAAAGGGGGAAAAGCAGGTCCTTTATAATCAAAAGCAAATAGTAAATGCTCTCTTAAATGGTGAGCTTTCCCATACTTATGCACCAGAACAGAAGGATCCTTGCACCTTAACATCTCCTAGTGGTCGGAAGCAAAGACATAATCTGACTGAACCATAGACTTGCTGAGAATTCTGAAACTTATGAAACATGAGCCTGGAACCAAAGAAGCAGGTCTGATCCTGACATGGGTCTAAGCTGAGACTAAATCTGAACTATCCTGATGAGATAGGAGTATGCCATGCAGTACAAAGCATTGCCAAGTTCTCAGAAAGCGTATCTGCCCTGCTCTGCTAGCTACCTCTGAGCTCCCCACATCTCTGTATGCTGAAAGGAAGAGTAGGTGTCCTGGGCCCTTGTTGGCAGGAACCAATGAGCTAGAGGAGAGACACAAGGAGGAAGAGGAGTTGCTTGGAGTACTCTGGAGAAGAGACCATCAAATGAGCCTTTCTTACAAAGGCACCTGGAGACCTTGAAGAATCCTCACTTAAAGAGTTTCATTCACAGTTGCTCAACTGTTCTCTGGTCCAAGGGGCTTAAAGGCAATTGGCATGGGGGCAACATAGGGTCAAGTGGAAAACAAAAAAGCAGACTATTCTAATCTTTTTTTTTTTTAATGTTCATTTATTTTGAGAGAGAGAGAGAGAGAGAGAGAGAGAGAGAGAGAGAGAGAGAGAATGAACCAGAGAGAAAGAATGTGAGTGAGAGCAGGGGAGAGGTCGAGAGAGGGAGAAAGAGAATCCCAAGCAGGCTCTGCACTGTCAGCACAGAGCCCAACTCAGGACTTGATCTCATGAACTGTAGGATCATGACCTGAGCCAAAATCAAGAGTTGGATGCTTAGCCAACTGAGCCACCCAGGCGCCCCCCAGACTACTCTAATCTTAAAGGAGATATTTAAACATATATTTGCACTCATGACAGTCCTGGCAGCAACTGAATGAATGGACGTGAGAGAGGCTGTCTGATCTTTGCTGATAGGTTTTGAATAATAATTGGCTTCAAAAAAATCAAAGAAATGGAATCTATTAGATAAAATTCTGAATTTATTTGTATAAGAAAATAACCCCCTTGTGACTGGGGTAATAAACACTATCTTGGATCCTTTCTAGGATGAAGCTACTTGGAAAAGGTAACAGATTAGCTAACTGGGCATTTCTAATATAAGGAAGCAAATTTCCTTCCCACACTGATATATAATAGAATTTTATCTTAATTCTTTAAAAAAATTTTTAAAGTTTATTTTTGAGAGAGAGAGAAAGACAGAGTGTGAGCAGGGGAGGGGCAGAGAGAGAGAGGGAGACACAGAATCCAAAACAGGCTCCAGGCTCTGAGCTGTCAGCACAGAGCCCGATGTGGGGCTCCAACCCACAGTCTGTGAGATCATGACCTGAGCCGAAGTCGGACGCTTCACTGACTGAGCCACCCAAGTGCCCCTAATCTTAATTCTTAAGCAAAGTTTTCTAGTTATTTCTGCCTATTTTACTCTTAACTTCTGGAATGGACAAGTACTAAAGTTTATTTTAAAAGTTTTAAAAAAAATTAACAGTGACTAGGAAATAAAATTCTCCATTATGTTCTAAATATCCCCTTTAAATAAGATGTTCATAAATGACAAAAAGTATGTAACTAAATAAATTTGGTCTAAAGAGGGCTTCTGAGGGGTGCCTGGGTAGCTCAGCTGGTTGAGCGTCTGACTCTTGATCTCGGCTCAGGGCATGATCTCAATGTTCTGAGTTGGAGGCCCACATCGGGCTGTGTGCTGGTAGCATGGAGCCTGCTTGGGATTCTGTCTCTCCTCCATGCTCCTCCCCTGGTTGTGCTTGCTCTCTCTCAAAGTTAAAAAAATTAAAAAAAAATTAAAGAGCCTTCTGAGAATAAAGTTGTGCTTCTTCCCCACCCTAAAGCCACTGGGCTATCTTATATTTGGTAGCTGGGGCATAGCTGACTTTGAAGTAAAAATAGCATTTTGTTCTATTAGGTATTTCCTTGCAAGTCACCCTTTACCCAACACATAGGAGCCTGGCAGGGCTTCTTCAACTCTAGAAGCCAGAGGACAAAGAAACCAGCCATTAAGACAGACAAGGATCCAGCAGCAAAATTTCCCTGCAGCTTACAGACCTGAGTGAAAAGGAGTGTTTCTGAGTTTCTGCTGTCCAGACTGAGCACAAACCGGATGGACTGGAAAAGTTCTTGGATGCTGGACCGGAATTGCTCCTCTTCCATCCCACAGGTGGCTCGGGAGTACAGGATCCTGGACTGCACGATGAACTTGAAAAGGTACTCCAAGGCCTAAGTAAAAGGGATGGAGAGGTGTTAAAGATGGCCAAGAGCTAACACAGCAGGGAATAAAGGGTAAAGTAACAGCAAATTCTATACCCAAATCAGATGATGAACAATTTCAACTGTGGAGACAAGCACTTTTTTTTTTTTTTTAATTTTATCTCCAAAGTCCAACTGGTCACTGAGTAGCAGCTGTCTTCTTACTGAGGAATCATCAAATTAATTTACAACTGTTTCTGTGGTTCTGGAATTGAGGAACCACAGACTGAGGAACCACAACAGCTGAATTCAAGACCATATAGGATCCAAAGAAAATGAAGTTTCTTTGTATTTTTTTCAGGTCTGGAAATAAGAGGCTTCAGAAGCAATGATGTAACCTCTCTTAAATTTATTCCAAGAAGGAAAAGTCCTTAAGGAGCCTTCTGAACCTTTGAGATATAGCTGGGGTCTGACATGGTGCCAGCCTTGTCACTGGACATTAACTCTGGAGAAAACTTGCCCCAGGTTGCACAGCCCCAGGTGGACCTGACACACCCACTCTATCCTCTTCCAAACCCGGACACCTTCCCACAGACAATTTTTGAACAATGCAGAAGATGAAGCTCCCATAACTTATTTTGGGAGCAGTATCTAATTCTGAGGAGTCCTTACAGCTTGGCCCATGCTTATGAGCACAGTAATTATCTTTTAAGAGAACAGATTGAAGATCTAAGACTATGCTTTCTAATCAAAGAAATGCCACAGATTTCCCAGACACTGGGAAGGCAGAGACATTGGGAGAGAAACTTATCCAAGGATGAAACAAATGGAGCTCAGTTACTTTAAATATAAAATAGAAAACAATTCTCAAGCTACCTTTCATGACCTATGTATCTATCAAAAGGTTTGGTAAAACAAAACCTCATTTTGTTTTGTTTTGCAGCCCATATAGAATTCAGTAGGCATTGTAGAATGGCTAGGTTAGAAAAATATGTCTTCCAAGCCTTGCACCAGAAGATTGCATTAGAAAAAATTAAAGTGTGTGGCCTCAGCAGCATAAATGCTACAGCCTCCATTCCAGACTTTTAATGCCTGGTCTGAAAAGAACCAGGGAGATGTGTGCTACATACTCTAATTTTAAAAGGGAAAATGTGTACCTCATGACCTGTTTTCTTTTTCCAGTTTGAAACAGCTAACACAAGAGTGTATTGAATGGCTTGAAACATCCACTAGTTTCACAGTGAAAGGCAGAACCAGACAGAAAAACTGCTTGCATTTCCTGGGCCTGAGAGCTTAGTATCTTCATTAAATTTTAAAATATAAAACAACGTCCAAGATGGCCCTGCGAAAACCTGCATGAGGGATAAAAAATAAGTCCACTTCCAGTCATCCATCACCCCCTGACTTCCTTTGCCCACTCCTCTTGATTTTTATGGTCAGTACCAGCGTGGGAAGGACCAGGTGATGGCCGGTTGCCTCTGACTAATGCAACCGGGGAAAGAGAAGAGGGTGGGCCAGTGAGGAAGGAGGTGAGTGGTGGAGCCTATGGAGTTTGTTCAAAGTTCAAGGGTGCTCCCAACACTTCATGGAGACAATGAAACACTTAATGGTGGGTGAAGCAGCCACTCTGTGCATTTCTACTTAAGTTAATAAGCCTGAAAGAAAAAGAGATCCTAAAAGTTATTACAACCTTTCAAGCACCAAGAAGATCCATTGTGCCTGCTCTTTTCTCTTCATGGTTCCCTGGGGGACCTGAGATAGCTCACCAGTGAAAAGTGTGCTGTCTTTTTAGAATATCTTGCCAAATGCCAAACTCAAACCTGTCAAAGATACCTCCTACAGGTCATTCACAAGGGACAAACAAAATAACCAAGTAAGAAAACGAAAGACTCTTTATTTTCATATTCCTTAGTGGTCAAACTTTCTTAGAAAGGCCACGACTTTGAAAGTGAAAGGAAGAGATGCTAATGAGTGGCAGCATGTGTTGAATCAAGAGTAAGAAGAGGTTTCCTGGTCCACATTTTATCATACCAGACTGAGAGGTGCTAGGCCAGGACCATATGCATCCTGTGAAGGATGAAAACAGGACTGATTAGAGATTTACTGGTTTGGTCAAGAGGACTTGTCAACTAAAACTTGAAGAAGAAGGGGAAATGACCTGATAAAACCTTAGTACTGGATGCATTAGTATGAGAGGCCATTCAAACAGGTTTGCAGCGGTAAGAATAAGTATGAAAGTACCTCAGAAAAGTGCTCCCCCAAATGGATATCTTCTTTCTTTCCACCCAAACCTGATCTTCTCCCAGAATTCTGCATCTTCCTAAGTAACCCTGATATCAACTCAGCTGATCTAGCCAGATTCTTTGGAACCAGCACTTCTTCCTTTCTATCACTTCACACATCCAATTTAATGTTTGAAATTGATTCCCTGCTTTGGTCACATCAGCTATTTTTTGGTTGCTTGAAACCTCAAGTTGTTTCCCACCCAGGCTTTTAAACATGCTGTTTCCTGTCTGGAATGCTCATCCCCCAGCTCTTCACATCGATTTCAGCCCAGAGGTCACCTCCTCAGACAAACTTTCCCTAAAATTTTGATCTGAAGTAAATTTCCTTCATAGTTCTTACTTATCAAGTTTTTTTCCCCACTTAATTTGTGTATTTATTGTCTGTCTTTCCTCCACTTGGATGGAAGTGCTATGAAAGCACAGCCTTTTCTGCTTGGGCCCCTGCTGAATCTCCAGTGTCTACTACGGTGTCTGACACGTGGCAGGTATCAAGTAACATCGACTTGACGGAATGACCGAATGACTGATTGTTAGGAGAAAACAACTTCTGTGATGCTTTCTCCAGTATCCTGAGCAATTAATTTAGGGACTCACATAGAATCTTTTGCACTTAACTCAACTTTTATCCCCTCAAATATTGTCTGAGGCAGTTGCCAGGTACTGGGTTTAAAGAAGAACAGAATACAGGCTCTATCCCCACATCACACTCAGAACTCTGCTCTACACCTGTGTTTGAGCATGCTTCAGTGGGGATGTGTTCTTCAAGGCAAGAGGTCTGTCTTATTCTTCTTTGCATCTTGGCATCCACAACAGATGCTGACTGCTTTGTAGACATGTATTATATGAAGAAGGACAGAAATAATACTTATGGCCTTAGATTTTTACAGAACATACAGAGAAGAGGCAGGGGAAACACAGATCTATGATTTTATTTTGCTTCTTCAGTCTGGTAATGTTTAGGGAAGCACCTGTCTCACCTGTTAGCATGTGGACAAGAACAACAAAATCACAGGCCCAATGGTACTCAGAGCAAATGATGTGAAATTAAAAGAGGACAGAGAAAAAGCAGAACTACTTTGTTGCCACTCTTCTTTTATTACTAACTGGAAAGGGTGGGAAAGACATGGTTAAAAAGCAACTAAAAAAAATAACTCAAGAACAAGAAAATGTAGGGGTGGAAAGGGAGAAAGCATGAACTTGCTGTGAGTTCCCAAGGGATATGGCAACTTTCTTTAAAAAGCTATCTTGAGAACTGTTGAGCAAAAGAGAAATCAACATTCTCTCAGTGGGTCTCCACAGAAGTACCATGAAAAGAAGTTACCAGAAAGTGAAGTTAACTCACAATGACGATGGTCCCCTGAAAACTGGAGCTGCCCAGAAATGCAAAAGGCTGCCTTATCTCGGAACCTGTCCATGCAGGAGTGCTGCCATGGGGGACTCCGGTTTCTTCCAAAGGTCAAGGTTTTAAGATTATCTTCTTAATGTATCCATATACAGTGCATCCAATAAGCTCTTTTTACTTAAAACAGTTCTAAAAAACAATGTTTAGTAACCACTGAAGACAGGAAAAGTTGGAAGATCTTAAGTCTAATCAATGTTGCCACCAACATTGGTTTAGAAGGAGATATGATGCTTTGGCCAGTGGAAGCAGAGATGGATGCTGCTGGCAAAACCAGTCAGGAAGGATGGCCAGGAGTTGCATGTACATCATCCCTCCTTTCTGCTTTAAGATAACACTGTTAGGAATAAAGGTGTGGGGCAAAATTAAGATGGACAGTGGGGAATTATGTGGTCCAAGGCATTCCTGAAAGCAGGCCAGTGTACTGGGATGTCGACACTTGTTCTGCACACTAAACCATTGAAATTACTGACAAACAACAGCAGGGGTGGGCCCTTTATGTACAGTGAGCTCAGTACATTACCCTCATGGCTTCCTGAATGTGGTCCTGTCGAATCAGTTCTGCTGAGCAGTCCATGTACCACTTCAAACAGCGAATGAGCTCCCTGGGAAAGAGAACAGTTCCAGAAACCCCACATTAACTCAAAAGCAATGCAGTTTGAAATTTTTGCAGCCCTGAATTTGCCACACAGGAAAAATAAATATACTGCTTATGAGGCAGAATGGAGTGATGGATCTGTTACAAATGTGAAATCTTCAGATCATCTGAGACCATACAACATGCCTCGTCTGTAGAGTTGCCACATTTTAATTAGCAATTATAATCATTCTTTCTCTCTTTCCCTGACACACATTTTTTCTTTGATAAGAAGTTTTCCTAGAGTCCTAGACTTCACCTGTAATTTTGTTTTGTCTAAAATTTCTATGTCTCCAGAACATACAACAATAACTAGTAAGTAGCAGATTCTGGATAAAGGTATATGGTCCTATGTGCCTCTCCTTGCTCGCTCTACAGCAAGTGCCCACTCTACAGAGTGATATCAAAGTGTCAGAGTTCCAGTGACTTCACAGCCTCGTCACCCGTTGGTTTTATATATATTTTCAAAAATTGTGCTAATTCTATAGAAGAAAATGAGGCAATTTTAAATTGCCTTAATGGTTTTAGATAACTTCTGTTTTCCATGTTAGCCATTTATATTATATCTTTTATCAATAGTTTTTTATTTCTTTGACATTTATTGTTGGTGCCATTTTAATTTTTTTAATTTTTTTTTTAACGTTTATTTATTTTTGAGACAGAGAGAGACAGAGCATGAACAGCGGAGGAGCAGAGAGAGAGGGAGACACAGAATCTGAAACAGGCTCCAGGCTCCGAGCTGTCAGCACAGAGCCAGACGCAGGGCTCGAACTCAGGGACCGTGAGATCATGACCTGAGCCGAAGTCGGATGATTAACCAACCAAGCCACCCAGGCACCCCATGTTGGTGCCATTTTTAGCTATTCATGTTTCTCAATGAAAAAGCAAGACTTACTTTTAGTAGCTTTGCTACCAGTTCTTGGAAGGAAAAGAATGACAATTGTGTAGTAAACTATGGTTTAAAATGTCAGCTGAGGGGCGCCTGGGTGGCGCAGTCGGTTAAGCGTCCAACTTCAGCCAGGTCACGATCTCGCGGTCCGTGAGTTCGAGCCCCGCGTCAGGCTCTGGGCTGATGGCTCAGAGCCTAAAGCCTGTTTCCGATTCTGTGTCTCCCTCTCTCTCTGCCCCTCCCCTGTTCATGCTCTGTCTCGCTCTGTCCCAAAAATAAAAATAAAATGTTGAAAAAAAAAATTAAAAAAAAAAATAAAAAATAAAATGTCAGCTGAAAGACCACAACCAATATCCTACTCAACAGTGAAAGAAAGTTGTTCCTCTAAGATCAGGAATAAGGATGCCTTCTTTTTCTACTTCCACTCAACATAGAACTGGAAAAACAGCACTTAAAAAACCAAACAACCTGATTAAAAAATGGGCAAAGGAGGGGTGCCTGGTGGCTCAGTTGGTTGAGTTTCTGACACTTCAAATTGGTTTAGGTCATGATCTTGCAGTCATGAGATTGAGCCCTGCACTGGGCTCTGCTAACTGGTGTGAAGTTAAAAAAAAAAAAAAATCCCTCTCCAAACACAACAAAAAATAAAAAGTCTTTGCTTGAGGATGTGGAGAAACTGGAACCCTTGAACACTGCTGGCAGGAATGTAAAATGCTGCAGCCACTGCTGTGGAAAACAGTATAGTGGTCAATCCCACCTCTGGGTATATACCCAAGAGAAATGAAATCAGTCTTTAAGAGATATTTGTATACCCATGTTCATAGCAGCATTATTCACAATAACTAAAAGGTGAGAGCAACCCAAGTATTCATTGATGGATGAGTGGATAAACAGAATGTGGTACATACATACAACATAACATTATTCAGCCTTTAAAAGGAAGGCAATTCTGACATATGCTACAACATAGATGGAACTTGAAGACATGGTAAGTGAAATAAACCAGACACAAAAAGATAAATATTGTATGACTCAATTTACATGAAGTTCCTAGAATAAGCAAATTAAAAGAGAAAGTATAACAATGGAGGTTGCTAAGGGACGGTGGAGGTGATGGGGAGTTACTATTTAAGGGGTACAGAATTTCAATTTTGCAAGATAAAAATAGTTCTTGAGATAGATGGTGGTGATGGTTGTACCACAATGTGGACATACTTAATGCCACTGAGCTGTACACTTAAAAATAGTTAAAATGGGGGGGGGGCGCCTGGGTGGCTCAGTTGGTTAATCGTCTGACTTCGGCTTAGGTGATGATCTTGTGCGGGGTCCGTGAGTTTGAGCCCTGCATCAGGATGTGTTGACAGCTCAAAGCCTGGAGCCTGCTTCTGATTCTGTGTCTCCTTCTTTCTCTCTGCCCCTCCTTCACTCCCAATCTGTCTCTCTATGTCTCTCAAAAATAAGTAAGCATTAAATTTTTTTTTTAGTTAAATGGTATTATTTTATATTATGTGTATTTTATCAGAATTAGAAAAAAATGAAGTTAAAAAAATGTCAGCTGGGGGCGCCTGGGTGGCTCAGTCGGTTAAGCGTCCGACTTCAGCTCAGGTCACGATCTCGCGGTTTGTGAGTTCGAGCCCCGCGTCGGGCTCTGGGCTGATGGCTCGGAGCTTGGAGCCTGCTTCCGATTCTGTGTCTCCCTCTCTCTCTGCCCCTCCCCCGTTCATGCTCTGTCTCTCTCTGTCCCAAAAATAAATAAATGTTAAAAAAAAAAAATTAAAAAAAAATGTCAGCTGAATGAATGGTGGTTGTCATGGAACCTTTTTTAAGCCTGTCCTTCTATTCAAACACAAATCCTAATGATGATGCTAAATGGAACTTACTTGTACGCCAGGGCTCCAGCAAAGTGCTTCTGGATGTATGTGTCCATTACAGGCCGGAAGTGGAAATACTTGATGTCTCTGAGCAAGTTGATGATGAATACCTGAAGGAGATGTAGGGTACTACAGTTCACTGGAGACCCTGGACTTATCCCCAGCAGGAAACAGAACTCTTGCTTCTTCAAGAAATGACAAACCGTCAGTATTTTCTCTAGTGTTTTCCATGGGCAGAGAAAGTAAGATTTCTATTCTGTACCTGTATTTCTGTCTTGTCTGCTCTATTCCCACAGCCCCCGGCCACCCAGTCTGGACTTGGGACTCATCTGTTTGTGCTAGTGTTACTCTGAGCCTCTCTCTTCATAATAATGCTGGATGACACAATACAGACTAGGAAAAGGCAAAGCGATACCTGTGTAAGGTGGCATAAATTCTAAGGTGTCTCAAAAAATTTGGAAAAGAGACCAAAAAAAAAAAAAAAAAAAAGAGATTGTCCTCTGAGCCAGATCAACTTATGAAAGGCTGTGCCCTTCCGAAATGGGGCTGGCTGGCCAGGAAAGCAAGGAAGAAAAGCCAGAGGGGCAATCTACGCAAGTGCCATTTTAACTCTCGCTTCTGCTCCTCATCTATCAGGTAGGCTTACAGTATATGGTTCTTGAATATACAGCACTCCTATAGGACAGGATATATTAAGCAAAATGCACTGAACATTCAAATCACTGTCCATTCTCACTAAGCAACCTACAGAGATTTGGGTTCCCAAACAACTGCCCAAAGGGAGAGAGTGTGATGCTCAGACCATCACAGATGAGACTCTGCTCTTCCTGGCCATTATACCCTATTTCTGTAGGTGAAAAAACAGGTCATCTGGTTTCCTATATCAGTCTCCAAGCCTTTTATTGGTGTAGGTCTCTATTTCAGGGGCTAGGCAACTCTGCAACAGTGATGAGACTGAGGTATCAAAACTACTGAGGCCCGGACCTGGCCATGCTGAATTCTTCAAATTTGATGCTGTAGGGATCTGCCCGGTTGGTAGGTTGGTTGGTCTTCCTTGGGTGACACTCCTCAGCCACTTTTCTATTGGAAACATCTGCACAGATGTTATACTGACTCACTCTAATAAACTGCTTCCCTTGGATTTTTAAAAACATATGACAGAAATAATAAATAAAAATGAAAAGTCGGGAGGGGTGAGACTTACCAAAGACTGAAACACCAACAGGCCATATTTCTCTGTATTATCATCCAAAATCACAAAGAGTGTATCTAAGATGTCCTGCAGAAACTGCAACATAAAAACCAGAGGGCTCAGATCTTAGGACCTTGAACACATGGTCAAACTTCCATACACCAATGAACTCATCTCCCAATAAACAAACTCAAAGATCTCTTAAGATCTCAAATCACCACTTAAACTAAACTAATCTAGGATCCCACCTCCACCTAGCTAAGGGCCCTGAGAGATATTTGGAGAGGCTCTTTCTCTTGGGTAAGTGCAAAATTTCTATGGAAAGAACGGTCACTTAAAAAAACAGGACATCCATGTAGAATTGTAATTTTGAAATAAAGTCAATCTAAGTGATTCTGATGCCAAATTCATTTTGAGAAAAAGAGTTCACTCTCCTGGGACTCCAAAGAGTTTAGTAGCCCCTCACTCTTTATTGTGGCCTAACTCTTTAGAGGACATTTGAATGAGGGTGTGGCAGGCTAGGTCTTAACTATAGAAACCATGTTTTGGTCTAGAAATCAGTATTCTGGGAGAAGGGAGAAAGCTGTTGCTGAGGTCTGTCAATGAGGGTAAAAGAAGTACCATTTTGTTTTTGGTTTTTAACATGTGCCTTTTTCTTTCTAAGATACAAAATCCAAGGGAGAGAATAATACTCAAGGATACTGACAGTCTTCTTCCAAAATAAAGTCTAACATTCTGTGGTCAAAAGGCAATTGAATGATACAATGTTTTTTTATTTTATTTGTTTATTTTTTATTATTAATTTAATATAATTTATTGTCAAATTGGCTAACATACAGTGTGTAAAGTGTGCTCTTGGTTTTTGGGGTAGATTCCTATGGTTCATCACTTACGTACAACACCCAGTGCTCATCCCAACAGGTGCCCTCCTCAATGCCCATCATCCATATTCCTCTCTCCCCACCCCCCATCCACTCTCAGTTTGTTCTCTGTATTTAAGAGTCTCTTGTGGCTTGCCTCCCTCCCTCTCTGTTAGTAACTATTGTTCTCTCCTTCCCTTCCCCCATGGTCTTCTGTTAAGTTTCTCAAGATCCACATATGAGTGAAAACATATGATATCTGTCTTTTTCTGACTGACTTATTTCATTCAGCGTAATACCTTCCAGTTTTATTCACATATTGCTGCAAATGGCATGATTTAATTCTTTCTCACTGCCAAGTTACAACTTACTTTAAAACAAGTCTAAGGTGGAAGGTTTGGATGGCAGCGTTGATGGGCAGGATTGGCCATAGGGTGATGACTGCTGGTGCTAGGTGATAGATACATGTGGGGTTCTTTATACCATTTTACTTTTGTGTATATTTGAAATAGTCTAATAAAAAGTAAAAAATAATATTTAAAAATGCTGGCACATTCTTTTCACACTCTCTTCTGGTGGTTTGAGATCAATTATTGATGCTAAAAGCAGATATGCTGATAAGATAGTCTCTTACTGGAAATACAACACTACTCAGCCTCAAAAAGATCAGACTTTGGGGTGCCTGGGTGGCTCACTAGGTTAAGTGTCTGACTCTTGATATCTACTTAAGTCCTGATCTCAGGGTCATGAGATTGAGCCCTGTGTTGGGCTCCATGCTGGGCGTGGAGCCTGCTTAAGATTCTCTCTCTTCCCCTGCCCCTACCCCCACTCCCACTCATGCTCACTTACTCTCTCAGAAAAAATCATACACTTCTCTTAATACCTTGTCTGCTAATTGATATTTTAAATATGTTTATTTTTATATTTTAGTTAATATACAGTGCAATATTGGATATATTTAAAAGAAAAATATGCCCTGAGAATAAACTGATCTTAAGTTTCAAAAACTAGTATTAGCTTGGTTAAGAGTTCTTTTTAAAATTTATGATACTCTAATTGATTTAAACAAAATTCAGACAAAACTTCATAAAAATATACAGATGTATACAGAATTTAAAATTGTTTCTCATTTGGAGACAGCATGTTGTGTGTTACTGAGTCAATGGAGCTATAAAATGAAAGTACAGATAGCGTATCTGTGCTAATTGATTTGATAATTATAATGACAGAGCAATGCTCACTGATGACAAGTTGTCTTCTTGACACTTAGTGTCCATTCTACATTCCACTGCTCTTGCTCATCATCAAAAGCACCTCCACTTTCCTCAGCAGACTTCAGTCCATTGTGCAGAATCCACCTGCAGCACTTTCACCATCAGGAGGTGCCAGGCGGGCAAACACTCTGTGCAATGCAGAGAAGCCTTACAGAAGACAACAGGGGACTTGTAGTGTTGCTGTCAGCCTGACGGGGCCATAGATGGGAAATGTCACAAAGGTATCTAGAGAAAGCAGTTGAGGCAGGGAGTAGGGAAAGGTCTCTGGTATGGACTGTAAGTGAGAGACTGGGCAAAAGCAGCAGCTACAAGTTAATAGAGAGTATTTAAAGTTCTTCTAGATAATCAAGTGCGTACGGCCAGAAAGACTTCAGGCCAGGTTTGCGGTAAAAGGGTTACAGATAAGGAAAATGAGAAAGAGACCTAAGGAAGGAAGAGGAGGCAGCACAAAGCACTGGGTATGTTTCTAATTATCATTTTACTTTTTAGGAAGGAAAAAAAGTCAGAAAATAGGGTTTATAACTTAGTTTCTAAAAGGTAATAAACCTGATGTCATACTTACTTTTAAAAAAGAAGCTAACTGAAAAAAAAAGAAAAAGAAAAATAACTCTAGTCCTACTCACTAATTATATTTTGAGAAATGGTCTTAGAGGTATACTGGTAGAAATCAAGGTGAAGTAAGACTTTCTGCCCAGATTCTTACTTAGGTAGCATCTATGAATTATAGGAAGGCATACCTTAACAATTTCTTCTCCACTGACATGCCGCAGCCGCCCTAGTATGTCCATGATCCGGTCTGGAAAAGCTTTCCATTTCAGCAGAGCAAGGAGGTCCACTACAAAGCAAGCCCAAAAGTAGTGAACACTGGCTATGCCAAGGACAAGCAAAACCCAGACTTTCCCTGCCAAGGACAGGTGGAATCTGGGGGAAGAGAAGTAGCTGCTAACATTACAACAGACTCTTTAGTGCTGATATCAAGGCCAAAGACACATCTGTGAAATCTGGAGGTGCATTCTGGAGCTAATAAAACCATGGGAAATCTTACAGGTTGCTATTACCAATTGGTTCCTTCAACTTCAGATGAAAAGAATGCCCTCATTGTGGCATGAAAAAGCAATTGACTTCTGTTTCCCTTAGCATGTATCAGCAACATGGAACCAGTCACTGAGGACAGGGAGCGCAGCACCCTGTAGGTACCACCACCTACCATTCTGGGTGAGTTTGGTGGAGGAGAGCTGTGTGGAAATGAAGAAAGACTCTTTGGTGCTGCGCTGGAAGATGAGGCTGGAGGGGATGTTAGGGCAGCCATTGTAGTCCTCTTTGCAGCAGGGCAAGCCCAGGTACAGAGCATGGTTGTTAAACGTGCTATTCTCATCGCACTGCAGGCAAAAGTAGAGAACACAGAATGTTTCCTGAACCATGACATGTGGAAAGCTCAGGTCACAGATTTTTCGATGTTGATATTTGCTCTCATCTTCCTAAGGCTAGATCTTGGGCCTCAGGTCCTCTTAGAAGAGAGCTTTCTGTTCAGAAACTCCCCATATGGCTCACATGCCTTTTAGAGAGAACATGGTGGGGCAGGTGGCCTCCATCTGCTGTGCAGGCAACTTTGGGTGGCAGCCATGCTGTGATAGCTGACAAAACCATGATCTCAAATGGCAGGTCTCTGAATGTACTAGCTAATGGCACAGAGGAGTTGGTAATAGACTTCCATTACTTGTGGAGTGGGAGGTGAGGGACAAAGGGCCTGCTGCCATTACTTGTGGGAGGAAGGTCACTGTAGTTACATGACAAAAGCCTGCCCACAGCTGTCCTGCTGTCATCTAGCAGCGCACTACCCTGGATCCTTTGGCCTGCCCACTGAAAGCCACCTAACTCAGAACCATATGTGAGAGTGGCTTCAGGAGTGTGAAGGTTGAGATGAGAGACAGCCAGGCTCCATACCTTGTACACATAGAGCTCATGGATGTCATCTGAGAGAGTGGTGCCATCATCCCGCATCAGGGGTGAGAATGCAAAGCCAAAGAGTTTCTTTTCCCCTTTGTCCTTTGCTGCAACCAGAGCTAAGTGTTAGTTGTTTTTGCCCTTCACTTTGCGTTTTAACAGAAATTCCCCTTGTGCTTATCACCTACATTCTTTACTTCTTTGTCCCTTGCTTTCATTAATTAGGTACATACCTGACTGCAGGAATGATGATAAATGTACTAGACTGAATTTCCACTTATATCCCAAGGTACACAGGCTATCTAGACCCAAATAGAAACTAGATTGCTAGTCTTGATAAATCAGAGGCTCTTTAAGGAACAGTTTAATATGTACACAGGAGACATCCAAAGGAGGATAACACTGGTAATTATCCAGTGTCTGGACCAGACACAAAGAAGGACAAGTACCAGACCTTTTCTGGTTTTGAGTCACTGTACACAGAACAGCCTCTGTTGACACCCCATCTCTGAGTACCCATTTATGCAGAACTCATTTTATTGCCCCAACAATAAGAACCCTCTTAATTCTCTTTCTGAGGAAAGAACTCTGAGACAATAGAACATTCATATCTTCCAAGGAATGTGGAGAGAAGTCTCACTCACTGGAACAATGTCTGAACTCGAAGCGCAGGTGGGAGCCCCGGAACCGGTCAATGGGGATGGGCAATTTGATAATTTCTCCCCAGCGAGGACTATTACTGTGGTAGAGGACAAAGGAGTGGTAGGAACTCCTGTTCGGCTCTCCTGAACCCAAGCTTATACAATCCTGGAAGAGAGAAGCAAAATAAAGTGTGATCTTGCTGGAGGAAGCCCCTGGATTTCTCTGTCACTAGGACACTTTCTCCTTTGCGCAAGTCTTATTTTCCCACCAGGCCAAATCTACAAGATGAGAAAATTCATTTGACTTAAACTCAATACTTTTGGAAACAACTGTGTAGATGGCATAAGGAATCAGCAGTCAACAATGCTCCTTCTTTTCCATGGGGCAAAAGTAACCACACACGCTGCTCAATAAACTGGAGGGCAGCTCAACAGTGTATGTGAACCACTAAGATAGGTTCTTCATCCTCATTAAGAAAGCAAACAATGAACTCCACAGGAGAAGTCAACTGTATATGGCACTTTACCTGATCAGAAAATGAATTAATTTATAAAGTGGAGAGAGCCTGTTTTCTAATCTTCCTTACCCCAATGTTGCACTGGCATTTTAGGTTGCCCTTGGCTGACTGTCTTTGGATATAGACAAGGCAGACCAGATTTAATTTGACCTCCTGTTTTCAGATATTGCCATGAAGATGTAGTCCCATCTTCCTGGAAGACAGGAAGTTGCAGGCAATACAATCAGGAGCAGCTCCCTATCTGCACAAGGGTGGTCTCAGAAGCTGACAGCTCTGCTGACCTTGGCATTATCCATGCCAACAATGGACACGCCTTAGTCTTCGAGATGGGCTTTTAAAAATGAAACAAAAATCAGTGCTTCTACCACCAATTAAACAATATCCTCCATTTATTTCTAGCTTTGGGGGATGATTTTGACTAATTTTACCTATTTACTTCTGTAAAATGTGGATGACCACTCCTGCTCTACCTACCTCACAAGGCTATTGTCAACATATAGGAGCGAGGTCTATAAAAGAGTGATTTGCCTTCTGTCAAGTGCTGTGCAAATGATGCCTTGTTATTTGCCAGGGACTTCACCATGACATGACTGAGGGAAATCTGACATACTGACAATGGAAAAACAGCACTCCAGGTCTTCACTTTGAATGAAGAGTGACAGAAGATACACTTGCATCCTTGTACTGGCATTGGCTGGAAATAATCTTTTACAGCCTGAGTCTGCTGTTCCCTGTCACATAACTTGGTACCAGACAGTGAGTGCCTAAGTCCTACTCCTGACCAAAGAGAAACTTTTTTTTAGCTTTCATTAGCTTAAGGAACAAAAAGAGTGGGACCTAATAACAGTTGCCAAAAGTAGGTAGCTTGATGCTAGACAGAATGGCAGAAAAAGTAACATGTAGGACACAACTAGAGGGAATAGGTCTAAATTGGAGCAGGAAGGATTGAGGTCAGACTGGGAAGAATTTCTAAAAAGGCTGTGTGACACTGGAAGTCATTATCAAAGCATACTGCAGGGTTTCCTTGAAGAAAAGGCAGAGAAGAATGCATACGTGGTGATGTGAGTGCAGTCTGCTTGATGAATGGGTCTCTGAATAAAGTCCATAGACTCATTAAAATTATTACAGGATTAGCCTCCTTTCCCAACTGACTGGCAAGTCTTACCTTCAGTATTTCTCCATCTGCGTAAAGCACATACATGGTCACTTCAATATTCTTTTGTACACTCTTTCCCCCTCTCTCGAAATCCCCCTTCTCCAAGGTTAGGTACAGGTCATTGCGGATATCACCTATGGGGAGAGAAATGTCATGTCTTCAAGACCACAGGAGCCACACTGCCCCGTTTGTATGGAGGACCAGGCTAGCATTTGGATCCTCCAGTGTTGAGGTGGGTGCTCAGAGCATTGCAAGCTTGGTTAATAACGGTGGACATTCTACTGATATCAGTGCGGCAGCACTCTGTTGGTTAGTCAGGTGCTCTCTAAGTCTAATTTCTAAAGGTGTTCACCACAGTTTGTCCAGGGTGGGAAAAGCTGAGGCAGAGAATCTTCTCTTGTATTACAGGTGACTACTCAGTCTCTCTATCTTCCAAGAGAATAGCTGAAATCTAAACCTTCCAAAGGGGGAAGGCTTTTAGAATCAACAGGAATAACATTTATTGTATTATGTCTACTACTTAACCACTAATCATTCCTCCTTTCCCTCCAAAAAAAAAAAAAAGTGGTTTCCTTTTTCCTTTACGGGTTTTCTTTTTCAACTTGCAACCCTTCTAAGTCTGACTAGAGGATACACTACTTTTTCCTTCTGGAGGCTTAGCTCCAAATCCCATCCCTTGCTGGAATGCCAGACCCAGGTCACTGGACTGTCATTTTTTTTTCTTCTTTGTGTTGCAAGTGCTCTGGGAGCAGATGACTTTCCAGAAGCACAGGTGCTAAAGCACTGGGGTAACAATCTGTTATGCTCTTTGCTTCTCTCTGACTTCTGCCCACTTTGCCAATATCTGCTGCTCGAGACTTGGGCAGGTGAAGCCCAAACTGCAAGCCGAAATGACCTAAGAAATGACCACATCTGCCTTTTTTTTAGGGTAAGGGGATTGTCTATTCATGTATAAGAAGAGCTCATTTGGGCTGCTCTAAGCTTCTAAGTTTGTAACATGACCAATTTTATTCATACATTCTAAAGAAGGTATTTTGACTTTCAAAACAACAACCACGATGACAACCACAACAACAGCAATGTAAAGTCCTGGGAAAAAAATCTTCAAAGGGAAAAAAATGGTATAGGAAAACATGTAAGGTCAAAGTGAAGATGTGCTAACAGCCTGAAGAACTCAACTGAGAGGTGATGGAAAGATTAACTTGCAAAGTAAGCCAATTCAAAACATTCTTTCTACCTCAGTTCTTAGCAAAACTGAAAAATCTGAAAATGTTCATTACTTGGAATCACAATGAAATAAACAGATATTGTTTTTGGTTAGCAAGTAAGCTTTCTGGTTTGGTCAGATACATGATGATGGCTCATTTTCTGCACAGACTACCTTTCTGATTATGCAAGTGTCTTAGTATCTCCTATGCATGAAACATGATAGACTAGAACTGGCATATATCTTGAGCTGTGGAGGTCTTCATGACCAGACCTATTATTCAGGTGGTCTTACTATACCAGAAGTGCAGCCATGGTTATTTAGTTGCATAATGAAGTTCTCAAAATACTTCAGCATAAGTGAGGAAGAACAGCCAACGAGAAGCAATTAATTATTCTCTGACAGCCCAGGGAACTTTCTCTAATGTGTGAAAAACATCTTGTGCCCCAACAGCCCTGAGGCTACCATGAAGGGAAAGGAAATTATGTTCTGAAAATCACATACAAATGCAACTAACTGCTGGATAGGTAGGACAGCCTAGTGGATGTCTATTCTTGCAGTTCACATGGACTTCCCTCCTGGCTGAGAAAAGCCTCTACTTCGAATTCTCAGGAGTCTGGACTTTAACCTGCCTCCTTTGGACATCTCTGCTTGGGCCTTTCAAGCATATCATTAAAATAGCACTCAGGTGTGCAGGTAAGGTAGGAAAGGAAAGCGGAAGGGAAAGTCAAATCCATCATTTTGCTATTGTAAGGGCAGAAGCTGAATAAAATCATTCCTAGAAGTAAAATTCAAAATTAAATGGGACCTTTACTATAGGTAATTGGTATTATAATGGGACAAATCACAGTTGGTTACACCTTGAATTTTTAACAATTGAAACAGACATCTTAGAGCCTTCTTTTGATAAAAGTCTTTTACTTACACATTAGCTCTTCTATGGAATTTAAGTAATTATTAAATTTCTACACTGATTTGGCAGAAAGTGAATAGTCTAGAGAATTTTAATGTCTAATTTACAGAATAGGTACTTTGTTTAACTATTACTCTGGTTTAAACCAGCACTCTCTAGAAGTTATTCTCAAGGTAATCCACATGACTTGTAAAAGCAGATACTGGCTACCAGCAATAATATTCTAGCTTGTACAAACATTTTAAATTTCTGTGGCTCTCCACAACAGTTAACCATAAATAAACGTGTCCTTCAAATGAAACATGTGAGCTTTTCCTATCAATATATGATACAGAATACTCATACAAAAGTGGGCATTACCTTGGAGATTGATAATGACAGAATTTGGTCTGTGTTGATTATATAGAGTGAGTCCATAGTTTCTGGGGCAGCTCCTCTGGAGCATTTTAAATCAACATGCTAATTTAAAATGGAAGGGCTGGGCTAGATATTCCTACAGCTTTCATTCTTTTAAAACTTCCTATTTAAATAGAATACCTTCAGTGATATCTTGCTGAGACAATTTATCAATACAAGTAAACATACCCTCTGAGTTACAGACTGAAGCAGCTTGATTTCATCAGATCTTTTGCTGCTCTTTATTTGGAGAACAGACTTGCCTACACCAGGACTATTCTCAGCAGAATAGGTATTAGGCCTCTTTATGGGTTGCAGTTTTGCAAATTATGGCCTCAATTTCGAGAACTGTGATAGTTAATGTTGCTGGGGCCTTCTTGTCAAAAGCTCTCTGGGGATCATTTAAATAGAGCTCTCCACTAATTCTCCTGGAACTAGGAGAAAACCTAAGAAGCAGCCAATGTGAAAGCCTCCTGGGATCTAACGACCTAGGCCTGCCTGACAGATAGCTCCCGAGATTCCCTGCTCTTCAGCTGTCCTTATTACATGTTACATGTTCACAAAGCCTACAGTGGAATCATGTGTTTGGGTTAAGGCACTGTCTCCAGGAGGCTCCTATAAACTTTAGTGCCAATTGCAAGGAAATATTACCAGGAGAGGGATGAGGACAGGCACATTACAATGAGGATGGGAAAGAGAAGGCCTGAGCAGCAGTTTGTGAGGTTAGTTTACAGAACACTGGGTGGGTGGCTGTATTCTAATCACCTAGGAAACTTATTAAAACTAGATTTCTAGTGTCTACCTCTTGAGATTCCAGTTGGTATTGGGTGAGGCTTGTGTACATACATTAAACAAAACCAAAAATCACAAGGCAATTCTGATGTTCTCCAGGGTTTAATGCCAGGGAACCAGACCATGGGGGTTTGCTGAGAAGCTGCTGCTGAAATTTTTCTGGGTGTTAGGGACTAGGCAGCCCTTAAGCAGAACAGAGGAATGCTGAGAGGGGTATGGAAGTGGGAGGTTTTTCTGCGGGATGTAGGAGTAGGTATTATTGAGGGCAACTCTGCCTCCCTTTGTTAGGTGTGCTCTGCTTCCTAAGGTTGGCAGAGCATCTAAAAGCATCAGCAATGCCTTTTTATCTCTGTTTAGTGCTCAGCTGACATGCAACAGAGTTTCTTGAACGGAAAGATGAATGAATGAGGTTGTTCTTATAGGAGGGCCTCAGAATAAACTTTGTTCCTTTCACAGTCTCAGAGAGTAGCCAGCTGTTGGTATAGCTGCTTGCCAGAGAACTAGGGACTTAAGAGTAGGTAGAGGTTGGCCAACTTTTTCTGTAAGAAGCCAGATAGTAAATATTTTAAGCTTTTTGGGTCACATAGGTCTCTGTTACATGTTCTTTGCTTTCACAACCCTTTTAAAATGTGAAAAACATTCTCAGCTGGCAGGTGGTACAAAAATAGGCCTCTGGCTGGATTTGGCCCAGGGACTATAGTTTCCTGATACCTGGCTTGGGTGTTTATGCGTCAAGAACAGCTTTACTACACTGCAAATACACATCAAAAATCCAGCTTCTTGTAAGTATAAATAAGCAGCTGCTGGGAAGGAGCAGAGTAATGAACCTGAAGCTACCTTCTTATGTCAGGGATTGGCCTGAAACATTCTGGGGTCTTTATGGAGTGGGAGGTCCTAGAAGGAAACAGTGTTCTTCAGCTACCAGAAATCTTAGGGGGCCGAGAACACTGTGACAGAGCTGCATCCAGCAGTCACAGAGAATTGCACACCTCAGTGGCCAGGTGTGATCCTCTGAAGACCTGCACCCTGGTATGACACTGGAGAAACAGAGCTCACAATGTGTTTGTACATCTCTTCTGACAGCAGTCTCTGGAGAGGTTTCAGAACCTCTGAGGTCTGGCTTGGGCACCAGAGCATCTGTTAGCAGGAGAATCTCCTGCCAGATACTCCAGCCTTACCAGGAATTTTGGGTCCACATGGCTCTAGCCTATGTAGAATTCCATCCCAGGAGAAATAATCCAGGACAGCCAATACAGATTTGGGCACTCAGTCTTGTTTAGACTCTTTATTACATTCATGTTCCTTCTGTATAAATTAGTCATACCACATATTAGGAAGATTTGGGTTCAAGGATACTAGTATTTAACACTATTATTTACTTATACCTTGTCTACTTCTAGATAGGATTAGGAGGGAGAGTGCTTTCTTTCCCTTAAGATCATGTGAAACTAGAACTAACCTTCTCTCTCTCAGCAGACATAGCAGCCTGCTCAGGATGGCACCAATTTTATCTTTTGGCAGAATAGGAGTGAAGTCCTCCGACAGCATCATGGGGATATGGAGACATTAACAACCATTCAACTTAGACAATTTCAGGCATATGACCAATGTTGTAAGGTGTTGTAGTTCTTATTTTATTTTTTAAATGTTTGTTTATGATGATTTTGAGAGAGACAGAGACAGAGCATGAGTGGGGGAGGGGCAGAGGGAGAGGGAGACACAGAATCCAAAGCAGGCTCCAGGCTCCAAGCTGTCAGCACAGAGCCTGATGTGGGGCTCAAACCCACAAACTGTGAGATCATGACCCGAGCCGAAGTCGGACACCC